GGATTATTCAGTATGGGGGTATGCATGGAGATGTACGGATGTAGTCCTGCTTTCAATCTGTATTCTCGCCACGTGGGGGGGGGATGTGCAGCTTTGTCCTAGGCAAGGCAGCAACGCCGCCCTCAGCGAATCTGCCGCTCCAGGCAAACGCCTTGTTTGCCTCGCGGCAGATACGCCCCTGACTGTATCCCTTACTAAGGCGTTATTGGGCAGTGAAAGCGGTAAGTTTCTAGTACGAGTATGGAGTAGTGCTCCACCATGGGGGAAACCATTTCAGTTTCTAAAGTGAGATTGGAGTAGCAGGAGGTACCTAGCAACCAATCATAAGCATGACGCAGAAGACACGCCAAATTGTAAGCTCGGATGTTAGGGAGCCCCATACCTCCCTCCAACTTATGGACTTGTAGTTGACGATACGAAATACGGGGGCGCTTGGAATTCAGTAAATGTTCTTTCCAGAAGCTGAATATCACCATGTTTCAGTAGTAGCGGGATCGTTTGGAGGGGGTAGAGTAATTTAGGGAAGCTCAACATTTTAAGGACGTGACCCCTACCAAAAAGCGAAAGGGGAAGCACTGTCCAAGTCTCCGGTTCTTTCATAATTTTCGCAATAAGAGGTTTGTAGTTAAGTGTGTATAGCGAGGAAGGTTGACTACGTTTTCTCTCATTTTAAAACGCACTTAGAATCAGATGTTCTGCTCAGGAATGTGTCGGTGTAACCCTTCCAGAACAGCGCCATCTTTGTTCAGGCATCAACCAGGGTCACGGTCTACTTTCTAAATTGAGATGCCGGCTCAGAGATGACACAAGCCTGTAAATCCCGGTGCCGTGCCGTGTAGTTCTTGGCTGTGTTCACAAATGCCTGATGCAGATCAGCCCTTGCTGCAGCCTCTCACCTTGTTACTTCCAAAGTTACAATCTGATCACTGGGGATAGAGGAGACCGAGGAGATGCTTCCTCCTGCCTGCAGCAGGCTGATGCCATCATCAAAAGCAAAGCAAAGTCACCGACATAAGCTGATGAACAGATTTTCAGTGATAAAAGGCGGAGTTTTTCTGAACTTATTCATGCAGATGTGTAACGTTGCTGAGAGGACCACTTTACATACGCCCATTTGTATTGGCAAAGCTCACATACACTTTTTCCTTTAACAACTTGTAACAAACAAGATGGAAGCCATTTTGTATGTTGTCTTAGTGCAAAGAGTATGTGAAGCTTTACCCTCAAAACCAATGCTTCCCTCTATGTATGATGAATAATAATAACATAGACACGTCAGGTGTAAAATGCTGTGATTGTGAAATACTTACACTTGCAGAACATTCACTTCCTGCTTTGAAAGGGCAAAATGACTTCAGTTCGGCAAAGCAATGCACACTAGGATTGCCTTGTCATCAGCAGAGCATTGCTGGGAAATCTCATCTGTAATCTCACCAGATCTCAGGGAAAGATATTTTATTCCCCTGAAATGATGTGCATGGTCACATGTCCTAGTCACATGTGACAGTAATCTAGGAAGTAATAGGAGAGCTAGTAATCTGCACTTAGTAATCATGGCCACTGTCAGAAGACTGGGGAAGAAAAGAGAAATAAGGAATGCAAAGAATACAAAGCTGGCAATTATGTAGAAGTATGTGTGTGTAGATTGTCATTCCTAGGGATGCACAGATACTTTTGGAGTACCAGTGCAGATACTTGGCATTTTCATGAGAACTACCAGGGTTGCAGCTGGGACCTGGCTCTGGCACTCCACCACTGTCCTGAAATCATTAGTCTGTATTGTTGTAGAAAAACACATGACAATAACCAAAAATGTGTCAGTACTCGTATCTGTGAGTACTTGGGCAAGTATCAGTACTTGTACCCACAAAACTGGTATCTGTGCATCACTTATTTATATTTATAAAAACAAAATCATACATTAAAACAGAGATGTAGAAATCCCAGGAGCTCCGTGTGCTCCTTACAAATGACAGCTGCCTCCTAACCTGTGAGTTTTTCTCTAGTGTAGTCTTGGAGCTGGAAAAGTATCTGTACTTGTACCGAGTACGGTGCATCCCTAGTCATTACTAAACATTTCTAAAGGTGTAATAGATGGTCAGCATCAACCAACAGACCTGCAGTTTCTCAAAGCCACCACGAGATGGCAGCACGGTCCCTACAATATCTTAGCGATATACCACTGCAGTTATCAAAGTGATATCCTATATCCTGTATGTGTAGGGAGTTCCGTTTTTTTTCAGCCAGAAGGTAAACATGAGTTTAACCACAAAAACACCACAGAAGAGGTAGATGAGGATACCTGGTGATAGTTAATTCTGATCTGAGACTTTAATTATGTGGTTGGCCCAAAAAGGTGAATGAACACCCCAAATATTTCAACATTTCAGAAGACTTGAGTTGAATGTGTTTTTTAAATTTTATTAACAGTTGAACAATGAAAAACAACATCCTGAATACAAAACGAGAAACTCCTACACTTCCAATATATAAAATGGGAAATATGGGGAAAAAAAACACTGCTAACTACTTAAAGGGCCACCGAACATAACCGAGAATATTCCTTATTAAAGCCACAGATTATCCCCACACACAAGAGGAGAGGGGAGATCGGACTTACAGATTTACCCACAATAACGAATTCCATATCGGATGTGTTGAGTGGCCCTTAAATATTTCATCAGCTATTATACAAAGCACCTGAGTGGCTGGTGTACGACGGCCGGAGCCACGCAGAATATTCTGTCACCCCCCAATGTGGCTCCCCCGTCCTGTGCTTTTCAATATTGCTGTTAGTGCACCATGTGGCTCGCACTATGATGTGTACAGAACGACACACAATGATCTTTTCCTAAGCATCTTCTACAAGCTTCACAGCTACAAACAAACACAACACAGAGTCAAGTTTTAAATGGAAAATGTTTTTCGGTCAACGTTGTCCCTCCCCCCCCCATCCTTCTGAGGTCTGTTGGCACGTGTAATCATCGCAGCTTCCGACGTCTAAATCGCCGATCGGCTGCGTCCTAACTCTGTGGAAATAAAAACATCAGTTGGCTTTGGGGTGAAAGCCGGTATCCCAGCTATCTATGTACAAACATATCGAAGCTGCTTGTACATCGAGAACGTGTATTATGAAATATGAATTACCAAACAACAAGCAAGGAACATACAAGGGAGAGTCTGCTCCTTAAAGTGAATGTAAACCCTAATAATGAACTTCTATCATTTCCTCCTTTTATTCTGTTAAATATATCTATGAAAAGAGTTTTGTTATATCTGATGATCCTGCCAGAATCTGATAACTTCTGCCTGTGCCGTGCTCTCATCAGTCACATCCACGGTTCCCAATCTGGGGTATGCATTCCCTAGGGGTACACATCAGGATGTTGAGGTGTACGTGAAAAAAGATCAGTGATAGGGTCACCCAGCAATCAGGCATCATGCTAGGATGCAGGCAGCCAGGCCACACAGCGTCATTGGTTGCTAGGATGCAGGCAGCCAGGCCACACAGCGTCATTGGTTGCTAAGATGCAGGCAGCCAGGCCACACAGCGTCATTGATTGCTAGGATGCAGGCAGCCAGGCCACACAGCGTCATTGGTTGCTAAGATGCAGGCAGCCAGGCCACACAGCGTCATTGGTTGCTAGGATGCAGGCAGCCAGGCCACACAGCGTCATTGGTTACTAGGATGCAGGCAGCCAGGCCACACGGCGTCAGTGGTTGCTAGGATGCAGGCAGCCAGGCCACACAGCATCATTGGTTGCTAAGATGCAGGCAGCCAGGCCACACAGCGTCATTGGTTACTAGGATGCAGGCAGCCGGGTGGAACAGTGTCATGTGTTTCCATGATGCAGATTGCCTAGCCACAAAGTTTCATTGGTTGTTCAGGGGCTGGCAGCCAGCTTGCCTGCACCATCAAATGCATGGTGCTGTGTGGCCCGGCCATCTGCATCCCACCAACCAATGACACTATGAAGCCTGGTTACCGGTATCCTAGCAACCAATGATGCTTTACAGCCTGATTGCCTGCATCCTAGCAACCAATGACACTGCGCGGCCTGGTTGCCTGTATCCTAGCAACCAATAATGCCATGTGACCTGACTGCCTACAACATCGCACCCATTGACGCTGTGCAACTTGGCCACCTGCATCCTTGGGACCAATGACACTATGCAGTTTGGCCACCTGCATCCTAGCAACAGATAAAGCTGTGGGGCCCAGCCACCTGCAACCAATGACCATGCGGGGCCTGGCTACCTTCATCAGGAGAGATGAATGTGGAGAGGAGTGAAGAGGGAGGGGAACAGAAAAAGAGGGGGCACAAATGAATGAGAGCGCAGGGGAGGAAGAGACACACTGAGGAGGGAGGGAAAGGAGCCGGGGCTGCAGGTCATTCATGATGGAGTGGGAATGGGGCTCAGCAATACTGCTGCACTCTTGAACATATGTCAGGGCCTCCAGGTCACTAGATAGGGTTAAGCATAGCACTATTAGTCCTGCCCCCTACTTCTCCCTTTATCCCAGAGAAGTGTTGGGGGGGGGTGTACAATTTATGGAAATGGTCTGTTAAGGGGTACACAAGTGTATGTTTTGGCAATGGAGGTGTTCTGAAGTCTTGTCCTAGGGCAACAACTCGGTTCCTCTATACAGTACAATAAGCGTTGTCACCCTAAGGGCCTGTTCACATGATATCAGGTGCGGATCTGAAGACTGATGCAGTGCGTTTGTCCACGTTTTTGCCACGTTTTTGATGCGTTCCAGTAAAAAAAACAAAAAACACATAGGGATACATTGGGATGCATTTTGAGTGCAGCAGCGTACGGAGCCGGTCAGCACAGAAAACGGACGTCGTGTGAACAGGCCCTTAGACAGGAAGTGTGTTACTAGCAGGATCACCAGATGAAAATGAGGAGAAAAAAAAGCCTGAAAAAAGAAAACCAAACGCCCTCCTAAACTTCCATAAACACTCTCTGTGGCCGAGACTCCACCCTGAATTGTATTACAGAGTACAGGAGTCAGTCTGCGGCGGGTTTCTCACCTGTCTGGCCAGACTTTCTAAGTAGGAGTTGAAGTTGCCCCGAATGAAGCTGGCGGTAGTAGAAAAGCAGCTGCACAGCAGCGAGGGAATGCTATCTCCGATCTTCCTGGTCAGCAACATGGCGACCGTCAGCGAAGCCTTCTCTTGCTCGATGCCGGCCGGGATGTTTTTCAGCAGAGATTGAACCACCGCCTCAAACCGCTGGAAGCAACACAGAAAAGGTTAATGCAACATAGGGGCACCGACTACACAGGGACACAGAACTCCAGCCACAGTGCTAAATACACAATCGAAGCCCCCAGATGTGAGCTGTGCAACTATCACACCCATTGTCAGTGGAGAATCACACATCCCTGCCAGAAGGTGAACCCAGGGAGGTCACACCGCTATTCACTATGGCTGCATCGTCCTCCTGGAGCTCTACAAATTCCTGAAGCTGCCCCTTTGACATGTTTCAAACATGTGCCTGAAACATGTCAGCATTATTTGATGCAGTACAGCGTCTATCTGATCTATGGTGGACGGTAGATGTAGGAAGGTGATTTTACTAGGCAGGTATACCAGCTGCACTTAACATGATTAAACCTATAAGTGGGATTTGGCGGGTTTTAATGGTTAGAGTTATTTGACCATTTAATGGTGTCCGTTTCTCATGAATTATACACGCACCACAGCTGCCATCAGCGATATTACAAAGGGGTGGAACGCCTGTGTGATAGGTTAAAAGGGTTATTAAACCCTTGCATGTTTTTGCATACATCTCCTGCTAGCACTCTCCGCCGCGCACTCTCGTCTGAACATCTGAAAATTTCTCGGGCGAACGCAAAGCATCTTGGGGCGGACGCATGCGCAGTTCAGATGTTATACTCACCTGAACCTCAGAGCTGGCTTGTTTTTAGACCGGTCCTTGGAGCCTCTCTGCCTCTGTGCTGCAATGGTCTAAGGTCTGCGAGTCATCACATTCTATACACTGTATATAGGCTGTGAGGACATTGAGGGACACACCATCTCTGCAGCAGAGACAGGCTGGAGCTGCCAGCGCCGAGGATTGGGTGAGTATAACTGTTATTTTTGACCCTAGGCAAAAATGAGCAAACTTAACCCTTGCTGTGTGTGGGGTGGGGTGGGGGGGGATATACGTTCGATATTAAGGAACATGAATGGAACCAGAATTATTTCTCACAAAAATGAATGAATTTATATAATGAATGATGACTTCCCAGGGCAGTGCCCGGAGAGACCCGACCATAGTCGCCCGGATGTGACCCTCGGAGCAGCACTATGTATCAATACGTACACTCTCCGTCAGAGAATCGTCTAGAATCTCATTAATGAGACTCTCCACCACCTCCTGCTTGATCAGCGCCTCCCGCTCAAAGCGGTCGCCCAGTTCCGCCAGCTGAGCACCAATCCTGCGGCAGAGTTCGTCATCCAAGCCTGGGTGCGGCCCTGAAAAGAGAAGACAGTAATGGACGCGCTGAAAAACTTTATGCCGTATTGCAAACTGTCCCTTTCATATTTATATCTTTACATTCCCTGCTAGGGAAGGGAGACTCAGAAATCCATCTGCAGCAGCAGCATCATACAGCAACTGTGCCAACTTACCATTACAGTGGCACCGCCAGGTGCATTTTTAAGAGAATTCAGCCATGTCAGCCGGTGCCCAGACACCTTGCGATAATCGTACGATAATCGCAGGAAATCCCGCGATCGTACGATTATCGCAAGGTTTGTGGAAGGCGTGTGACCGTTTTTACTGTACGGTCGCATGACTTTTATCTTAGGAACATGTTCGAAACCCCGCCGAGAATCGTACGATTGTTGGCGGGTGTGTGGCATGTTCGTAAGATAAATGCCGCACGGGCCGGTGTGCGCAAGCGCACTGCCCGTTCAGCATTGCGTTCATCGGAAGTACTATCTGCCTGTCCAAGATAGGCAGATCGTACGTATATTTAATTACCATACAAACATCGCAAACTTACGATGGTTGTAAGGTCTGTGGCCAGCTTAGGTTTCATTTGGTCCGGGTGTCATGAAGAGAAGCATTGCTTCATCTGCTCACTAGAGGGAGGAACACAAGTCGCCAGTTATTTGCTCTCTCTTTCTCTCTCAAGCTCAATAGCCGTCACCAGAACAGGATAAGAGGGGATACTCCTTCTGGTGGCAACTGTGTCTTCCTTCCACTTACTGTTTTGTTGTGTCTCTTAGATAGGAACAAAAGGGAAAAATGTACCCAATGGCGACACAGACTACTACAATAAAAGAAATTGACAGAAGATCTCCCCCTTCCAAACTCTATCCAACATTTAAAGTGCATTTCTGTTTTTGTAGCCAAATTGGAATAATATTTGTTACATGTTTCTCATTCACATAGCATGCCATAAATTTGTATTTTTAAATTGCTGCTCACACATTACACGGTCATATCTATGTTATGCATCGAGCTTCTGTAGGAGGAGCCTTACCACAAGCAGTGGTATCAGCAGAGAGTATTGAATCCTTCAAAAATCAATTAGATATCGTCCGCAGAGACCGTAACATACAGAGGTACAGGTACTCTTAAAAACTAGACCACACAGGGACTATAATACAGACATGCACGCACGCACGGACAACACACACACACAGACACACAAAGGTAGAACTTGATGGACCCGTGTCTTTATTGAACCTCAAATACTATGTAACCATGTACCTAGACTTCTAGAAGGTAACATGAAGGGAGGATTGAGTAACCAATGTAAATAAAAAAGGAGGAAGGGGTCCCTCTTACCAGGCCAGAGGCATCCCCTGCAGCCACTGGGTCTCTATGATATGCTCTGTATCAGTACCAGGGTCCATAGCATCTGCAAGGGTCAGAGATGAAAGTATTGTTGACCACCAGGCTCCAACACCCCATCCCCAGGATGACTGGCTCCCACTGAGGAATCCCTCCTGAAGAACCCAGGTAGGTGAAAGAAGGAGCAGACCAGGCAACAAAACTAATTAGGGGAATGGAGGACCAGAGCTATAAGACAAGGCTTCTGACCTTAAACATGTTTATGCTGGAATTAAGGAGATTAAGGGGGGATATGATTTTCATGTACAAGATGTTCAATGGTGACAGCAACATTGGCAACAAACTGTTTGAGATTAACTCCATTACAAAAACTAGAGGCCGCCACCTAAAGTTGGTGGAGAAAAAATTCCAGCACAATGGGCGAAGAGGGTTCTTTACAGTAAGAGCGGTTAAGGTCTGGAACTCGCTGCCATCGGCAGTAATTTCAGCCAAGAGTGTAGATTTGTTCAAGAAACGTTTGGACAATTTCTTGAGGGACCGTAATATCCAGGGATACCAGTATCCCTAAGAATGAGATGATGTGTGGACCTATATGGGTTGGACTTGATGGACGTATGTCTTTATTCAACCCCAAATACTATGTAACTATGTTATTGGAATACTCCGAGGGGACAAGTCTAACTGGCTGTATGTTGTCTGGCCTGACCTGCAAGGGACACGGGGAGAAAGTTCTGTAGGAGGAATGAATAATTGTCCATTTCTGTCCCTTTCAGGTGAATGGGTTCCCTTACTCATGTGCAGTGCTGTCAGATTTTGAGTCCACACACACTTAAAGCAGTGATGCTAATCCATAGAAAGCACACTGACACTTCTCAATATTAACAATAAATATTGATTGGGGAAAAACAACGTTAAGTGGAACTTTACCCCCTTTTACTAAAAAAGTCACAGCAGCATGCAGCTCTGTGTGCTGATTTAAAATCATCTTACATTCATTAGTTACACAAGCTTGCTTTTCATTTACATACAAATAGAGATTTACTTGGATGTAATCCTGGGAAGGTTACATCGGCAGAGCATTGCTGGTAAATCTCACAAGATCTCAGGGAAAGGCATTTTCCTCCCCTGAGATGATGTGCATGGTCACATGTCTAGTCACATGCGCCAGAGTTACAGAAAGTAAAGGGAGATGGATCATCTGCCTTTAGCAAAAATAGCAATTGTCAGAAGACTGGGGAAGAAAAGAGAAATAAGGAATGCAAAGAATACGAAGCCAGCAATCATCTAGAAGTATGTGCTTGTAGATTGTCATCACTAAACATTTCTTAAAGTGTTTTTGTTGTTATTTTAAAGATATTGGTAAAGTTTCTGTTTAAGTTCAATGCTAGTTATTAGGGATGTCCCGATACCGATACAAGCATCAGTACATAGGAAATGATGGTAGGTGGCTGTCTTAAGTCACCAAGACATATAAAAATCCATTGCTACCCAAAGCAACTTCTCCACCTGTAACTAAAATATCTGCACTAACCCAACTATTCCACAAAGAAAACTGATCAGCAAACCCAACGTCACAGCAAAGACTCATCCAACTCCCATGTGACTTACCGCTCTCTGTCACTAAACATTCTCTGTAAGGGGAAATCCCGTCTGTTTCCAATTTGCCATCTCTGTCGATAGTTTGCGCCAAGGACTCAACTGCCTCCTTATATTCAGGGCTCTGGTCCTTCTGCTTCTCTAGGAAGGTGAGGATAATCAGCTCCACTGTCATCCTGACTATGGGGGGGCTGTGAGGGGACAAAACAAAGTACAGTTAGATAGAGAAAGGAGCAGAGTCCTCCAGCAGTGCAGAGTATGTCAGGAGAGGAGAGTTGGATGGAGGAAGGAGCAGAGTATGTCAGGAGAGGAGAGTTGGATGGAGGAAGGAGCAGAGTATTTCAGCAGTGACACGGGTGGATTGTGGTGTCACCTCTGTATTACAACATTCAGCAGACAGAAGATAAATATACATTAGTCATGGAGATGAGTCATTATTTTGTGCCATCAATAACAAGAAAGAGAAACTGTTTGACTTTTGGCCTCCGTGAGGTGAGTCACATTGTTATCAGAGGATGATAAATAGCTAAATGATAGAGGAAAATCCCAACATGACACCAAGAACAATGCTTCCTGACTCAGGGCCCTCAGTTCCCTCCAAAGTCACTGTGACACATTGTTGTACTTCAGCTTCCTTCTTCCGCACACTAGATTCAAAGAAGCTGAAATATGTTTGGGTGTCATGGATTCCATTTACACCGCTCATCACCACCACCCTCCCTACTTCATTACTAAAGTCTTCCATGATGTCCCACAAAGGACAAGAGAGAAGAGTTAGAGGAAGGAGCAGAGTCCTCCGGCAATGCAGAGTATTTCAGGAGAGGAGCGTTATAGAGGAAGGACCAGAGTCCTCCAGCAGAGCAGAGTATTTCAGCGGTGACACGGGTGGATTGCGGTGTCACTCTTTATCATTGTGGATGAAGCTTGGTGCAGCAGACAGAAAATAAACCCAGGTCTGGTAGGGAGACGAGTCATACTTCCTGCTGAGTTCTCTAGAAGAGTTCCCAGCGTGGCGTGCAGCCGCCCCTATTTCAGGAATTCATGGAGAGGATTTGCATACATCATCCTTGTATGACCTTCACACGGCATTCAGCTCTGTTATTCTGCATCACACATTCTAATTGTTGGGGATGAACAATATGCGGTCACCAAGGGGCTCATTCACGTTCAGCTCATATGGGGTTTACTCATCTCTCAGTCTTTCACTGACCCGTTTATCGGTGTTGGAATGTAGAAATGGAGAAACAGAAACATAGAAGAAAAATAAAATGAATGACATCACCAGCAGGGATTTCCCGCTCTTTGGAGGGATTTCCCTTCACTTCCTGTTGCTGCAAATCTGTCCCAGAAACCACAGATGGCAAAAAAAAAACTATCAGGGTCTATAACACTCCAATAGTGTATCCAAAGGGAAATAAAAGAAAAGTTTTGACTTTAGTTCTAGTCTAACCCTCACACACAGTCCGCACGTTATGTGTTGAAGCCGGAGAAGTAGGAAATGATCAGGTTTATTTGGCAATCTGCAACACCGACATCCACACACAGATCTCTCACCGATGGGAGTTCTGCTGTCAGTGAGGCTTTTTTTTTACATTCACAAGTGAAAGGGTTTAGAGATTTCAAGGAACGGAGCAGCTGAAATTCCACAGCTCCGTCCCTGGAATTCCTTCCCCGGGGCCACAACTGCCGCCCCCCTTCCTACCAGGGGGAATTTTTATAGTGGATGCAACAGAAGAGAAAAGAAAAGCATCTCATAGGAAACAAAACTATTTAGGTGCCCACACACCTTACAATTATCTGCAGATGTTCTGTGGTCAGATGGAAAAAGTGCAACAGATTGGCCCAGGTGGAGATTCCTCCATCCACACAGTTATATGTAGATGGGAGGAATCCGTTCCACCTTTTCCATCTGACCACAGAACATCTGCAGAGAATTGTACGGTGTATGGCCAGCTTTACACAGGTAAAAAGAACAACCAAAACGTTCATTTTGCCCAAAAGAGAATGGAATCTTAAATCCCCAACATGACAAAGCCCTGTCCATGGTGGGGGGAACATTTCCCAGCATACTGGACATTTCCTGTCCCGTCATCCAGCAGCCGATCATAACAGGAAACCAGCCGGCAATGATCCAACTTCTGCGTTTAGTAGGATTTGTACGAGAACTGCACAGACACCGGGATTTACAGGAATGTGTCATCTCCGAGCCGGCATCTCAGTCCAGGAAGTGGATGGTGATCCTGGATGATGTCTGAACAAAGATGGCGCTTTCATTCTGGATAGAAAAGTAGATGAAGGCCTTGCCAGGGGGAGCGCCGTGATCCCTAATAAATACCTGGAAGTGTCACACGGACACATTACTTCAGCTGGCCATAGACAGCTCAAACGTTAGATGATTCCGGCTACATCATCCACAATTCAAGCCAGTGCCAACGGTATTTAAAAAAGGACTTGAGAGGGGTGGGAAATGAACGGCTGAACAGTGACTGCACCCTATCAGATGCAGTCACTGTTCCTGTATTCGGCCATCTGCCAGTGCCACAGCTGCCTGAATACAATAGCATGGTGAAAGGCGGAGGAGGCGAACTTCCATCCCGCCATCCCTGGGTTGGCATCACGCATTGCCATAGTCCTGGTGGCCGGCCCATCTGCACCATGGATAGGCATGACACTGTGCAAACATTTCAAGGCACCCCTAAGGAAGCCAGAGGGAACCCCAAGTCGTGGCAGCACCCCGGGTGAGAACGACTGCCTTGCAGAATGCATCCAAACCAAGCTGGGATCTGCTCTTCAAATCATTGTACAGAAGGGAATTATCAAAACTGGAGCAGCTGTGCACGGCAACCAATCAGCTTCTCTCTTTCATTTTTCAAATCTTACCTGAACAAACTGGAGAGAGAAGCCCATTGGCTGTCATGCACAGCTGCTCCAGATTTTGTCTGCTCCCGTTTTGATAAATTCCCCTCAATGTGTGTCCATCTCACCCTGACATAGCACACAGCAGATATTCCAGAGCGGGCCCTCAGCATTGCCCCGCTGTGCTACTGAAGTCCCTTCTCTGTGGCCCATCTGCAGGACACATCCACCATGAGAATCAGTAACCAAGTGATCAACATGTGACATCAAATCCACAAAACAGGGGGACGGCAATATAAAAGGTGTCAGTCTATATACTCTATATACTCCACATATACTCAGGGTGTCAGTCTATATACTCCACATATACTCAGGGTGTCAGTCTATATACTCCGCATATACTCAGGGTGTCAGTCTATATACTGTATATACTCTGCATATACTCAGGGTGTCAGTCTATATACTCCGCATATACTCAGGGTGTCAGTCTATATACTCTGCATATACTCAGGGTGTCAGTCTATATACTCCGCATATACTCAGGGTGTCAGTCTATATACTCCGCATATACTCAGGGTGTCAGTCTATATACTCCGCATATACTCAGGGTGTCAGTCTATATACTCCGCATATACTCAGGGTGTCAGTCTATATACTCCGCATATACTCAGGGTGTCAGTCTATATACTCCGCATATACTCAGGGTGTCAGTCTATATACTCCGCATATACTCAGGGTGTCAGTCTATATACTCCGCATATACTCAGGGTGTCAGTCTATATACTCCGCATATACTCAGGGTGTCAGTCTATATACTCCGCATATACTCAGGGTGTCAGTCTATATACTGTATATACTCCGCATATACTCAGGGTGTCAGTCTATATACTGTATATACTCAGGGTGTCAGTCTATATACTCCGCATATACTCAGGGTGTCAGTCTATATACTGTATATACTCAGGGTGTCAGTCTATATACTCCGCATATACTCAGGGTGTCAGTCTATATACTGTATATACTCAGGGTGTCAGTCTATATACTCCGCATATACTCAGGGTGTCAGTCTATATACTGTATATACTCAGGGTGTCAGTCTATATACTCCGCATATACTCAGGGTGTCAGTCTATAAATATACTCTGCAGAGTCAGGGTGACGTCAATACAGATGAGGAAATACCCCGCCGCTGCCTGTTACAACACGAAAACAACTCCAAAATGTGTCAGCGGAAGACGATGGTCTCTGGAGGTTTATAACCCTTCCCCTGCCACATCCCACCTTGTACCGCACAGCTGCCGCTGTGGCCCCAAGAGCTTACACTTCAGAAGAGTGGAAACATAAAAGAGAGCTCCGGTGTGAAAAACCTTCCCAGATAAGAAGATGTTCTGAAGATGAAGAATTTTGTCCAAAACAAAACCGTTTTGGCAACATTCAATGTATTTGGAGGGGCGCCCCAATACTTTTGGCAATATAGTGTACATATAGTTAGTGGGGTCGGATCGCGGATCGCACGTACTGAAGAAAAATGGAAGGGGCGCGATGGAAGATTTTTCTCAATTGAACAAAATGTTAACAGTGATTTTTTTTTATTATTGGGAAACTCCATTCATTCCAAAACCACATGTGGGTCTGGAACCCCCTGACCCGAAGGGGCTCAGCCTGTAGCCCCCCATGGGAGCCCTGCACGCCTATATGAGTTTGTTGGACGTCCCATTCTAAACCCACGGTCATCAATATGGAGTTAGTGGCCCTTTGTGGCTATAAGGCCTCATGCACACTGGCGGTGACATATATGCGTGTTTGCATGCGTTTAGTGGCGTCCACTGTGACTGGGTTCAGAGAAAACAGCATGTAAACGCATATAAAGGCAAGTACGCAGGAGAAGCTGGTCTGGGAAGCATATGCCTTTAAATAAAGGAGGCCTGTGTGTAAAGCTTCCATCAAAGGGTTCTAGTGGGGTGTTTTAATGGCATACGTAGAGTCGTTTTTCTGACACTCTAGAGACTGGCAGTGCATGCTGGGACTTGTAGTTCTGCCCCAACTGCAGCAACATTGAGCTCCCCGACAGAACACATGACAGCCGGGTGTGTGCAGGACGACAGCTGGGGAGAATTCGGGGCAGACGCGGCGTCACCGAACAGAACAATTCACAGCTCTACTGCGCAACATGACTGAAGGTCAGCTCCACCCACAACACATATTTCAGTCTTAGCAATCGCTGGATTTTTGTATTTCTTGGGTCTGACTACCCTCTGGTAAGAGACTGATGTGACCAGCTCAGTGTTCTCTGTACAGCACTGCAGTATATGTCAGAGCTATATCCTCTATATTTTATCATTTCCCAGTGAGTATACTGCCCCCTGTCATACCCTTCACACTCCTCTCCTGTACATACTGCCCCCTGTCATACCCTCCAGGGACTGATGTGACTGGCTCAGTGTTCTCTGTACAACACTATAGTATATGGCAGAGCTATATAAACGTATAATAATAATCTTTACAATTAACAGAAATATTATGAAATTCTGAGCATTTTCTAACCATCTGTCAACGACTTGAACAATGGAATTGGAGACAATGTATACAATATTTCTTCTGCTGATCTTGCCACCTCTGGCTCACATGACGCTCGCGGTTGTGAGGTGTGACTATGAACTTCCCGGGTGACAGGCAGCAGGGACTGAGAGCGGTACTTTCCCCTTTAGAGCCATTAACCCTTCGCCCTCCTCTGTAGATGGAGCTCCCCATACAGGAGAGTGGACTCAGGAAGGGGAGACGGTATTTTTTCCCTCTGCCCGGCCTGTGTGCAGGAATTGACATCTCCAGGCAGAATTGTAATTGCTATAATTCAGTGTTCTGTTCCTGGTGGATCCTCAATGCAGGAAGTGACCCCCCCTCCCTCCACCCAGGATCACACACCGGCCAGGCTTTTCCCCCCACCCCAGAAGATCCCTGATCACTTACCTGGGAGAGATCACCCTGCTCACTGCAGCAGATCCTCAGTGCTCTTCCTCCTCCTCCTCCCCTACACTCACATGGTACAGCCCACAGTGCTGCCTCTTAAAGGGGCAGGCCCTCACCAATTCAACTACTTGGAAATGAGCTGCACCCCATTGCTGGACTTGTTATATCTGTTTGCACAATCTCTGTAGTCCTCTGGTGTACAATATACAGTGTACACAGGGCATGCCGGGACTTGTAGTCCACCTGTGTATAATGTACATTGTATACATGTTATGCTGGGACTGCTAGTCCCCCTGAATAAATGTACAGTGTATACAGGTTATGCTGGGACTTCTAGTTCACCTGTGTATACTATACATTGTATACAGGTCATGCTGGAACATGTAGTTCTCCTGTGTATAATGTACAGTGTATACAGGCATAACTCCCAGCAGTCCCGGGTTCTATGGGTTGTCACACAATCTCAGCATCCTGCAGAACTAGGTCGAGTCCTACTGCTGGGCAGCTGCTTGAATGCTCGTTCCCCCACCTGGCAGATTGATCTTCTGCCCAACCTGAGCACTACAGAGCCACAGAGTGAGGCAGCATCGTCCCAACCTTATCAAGAACCAGTGCCTTCACCTTCCAGCCTCACCAAGAACCAGTGCTCCCCCCATCCTCACCAAGAACCAGTGTCCCTCTCCCAACCTCACCAAGAACCAGTGCCCCCCTCCAATCCTCACCAAGAACCAGTGCCCCCCTCCCATCCTCACCAAGAACCAGTGCTCCCCATCCATCCTCACCAAGAACCAGTGTCCCCCTCTACCAACCCCAAGAACCAGTGCCCCCAACCACCCCAAGAACCAGTGCTCTCCTCCCATCCTCACCAAGAACCAGTGCCCCCATCTTCCAACCTCACTAACAACCAGTCACTCCCCTCCCAACCTCAACAAGAACCAGTTCCCCTCCACCCAACCTTATCAAGAACCAGTGCCTTCACCTTCCAGCCTCACCAAGAACCAGTCACTCCGCCCTCTCAACCTCACCAAGAATCAGTGCCGCCCCCCCCTTCTCTGCTTACTGAGTACCAATGCCCATCCCTGAACCCCCCAAAATGGGTTTATGTGTGTCTGTGAAACTCTTTAACTCTTTCATGTGATAATATAGTTTAAATCTGAGCTCCGGCCTTCCCATCGGTCTTGCTCAATTTCAGTTCTTTCAATCATGGAGCCTCAGCATCACATGTGGGCATCACCTAGATGCGGTCTGCATGTGAATACCGCCTGCCTAGGAACTCTCCATTTTTGGTACATTTGATATTTGCATAACTCCTCCCAAGAGCCAGCCCTCTGCTTGCATCAGGGCTGACGGCTTTTGAGAGGAGTACTGAGGCAAGATGCTGTGATGTGTTTTAGGAAGCTGTGTACAGCACCCTACCAAGCCCCTCCCACCAGCCATGATCTGCTTGCACTGCATAGAGATGACATCACCGAGTCTAAAATAAGATATGTAATGAAAACAGAAAGATTTGATTGACTCAACTTCTACTTTGTGGGTACTAAGACAAATGTGTGCATTGCGGGCTGCAAGTACGCTCAGCCTTACACTAGATGCAAATGTACCTTTAGACCAGAGGTAGGCAACCCTGAGACACCATCCCATCATGCCTCTACCTCTGGGAGTCTGGGAACCTATGGCTGTCAGTCTAGCCTCATGGGACTTGTAGTTCCACAACAGCTGGACTGCCCATGTTGGCTTCTCCCAGTATGGACCATGCCCAATATTCAGTGTAATGTTGTCATCCACATTTCTCACTAGGGCACACTCCATGCGACACATACCCCCCCAGTATAAAATATAATGTATATACTGGACTGTCCGTCTTTGGCTGCCTGGCATCCATTTGGGTGAATGTTAGGAGCTCCACCATATACTGTGAGCGGACCGGTGTCCTACGAGGACGTGGAATGCCCAGCGTGTTATGAAGAATATAAATAGCCCGCTGTCAGCTCACTGCATGGAGCAATAATTACCCAACCTGGCCCTGTTTATGGCTGTACATTCACCTCATATAACCGGCGGAACATTAACCCCATATTACCGTCACATGAACATAGAATCCGGCACAAGTGGTTTCCCCCATTTTAGGGTGGACCTCCATTTATTGCACTGGTCAGTCCAGGGGGGGCGCTAGTAACACAAAGATGCTGATTTACTAAAGTCATTGAGAATATTAACAAAATAAACTGACAACATTCATGTTAATTACCCAATCATGTAATAAGGAAAATTCCCATCTACTTGTCTGCACACGATTTCCACATTGATCATTTCGTGTCAACAGTCTCAGCTCCTTCCCCCTTAAAGTTCTGTTATCAGTCTTCCCAGTGATGGAAATACACCCATCAGCCATAACAGTGGCGGACCTAATAACCAAAGGGCCCTGGTGCAAGATTTTATCTTGGGCCCCCCTCCCAAGACGGGGGGCGCGGGAGCGGATCACACTGGCCCCCTCCTCCCCCAATGGTACCTAATGTTGCAGTAGCGACCCTGCAGAGCACACCATACATCCTGCATAGCCCACCTGAGACTCTCTATGGTGGGCCCTGCAGGGTTCCAGGTGGGCTGGTCTGGTCGTCGGGATGTCGCCCCCGTACAGTTGATACCCATGTAAGGGGCCGGTCATACCCCCCTGATGGCGGTGTTCTACCAAAGGTTGTGACTACGGTGACGTGGTCACACGTTTTAACGTAATCCCGCCCTGTTTTTCGGCGGTGGAATGTGTGACCGCCAGTAGGTAAAGCATTCCAGCGCTTTCCCAGCTGTTCCAGGGCAGATCGGCATTGCAAATCGCATGTGCAGCAGAACCGATCTGCCCTGAAACAGCTGATCAGTGACATTTCAAGGTGACCGATCAGCTGTTCCAGGGCAGATCGGCATCGCACGTGGTATGTGCAGGAGAACCGATCTGCCCTGAAACAGCTGATCGGTCCTGAAATGTCACTTCTCTCCGACTGTGATCTCACATTCCACCGCACTCACAAAGTCGGATAGAAGTGACATTTCAGGACCAATCAGCTGTTTCAGGGCAGATCGGTTCTCCTGCACATACTGGGGGCCGGGCGGGCGCCCCGGTGTTCGTCCCCCGGGGCCCCTGCACTGCCCCATATTGCAGGGCCGGACCCCACTGAGGCTGTGCCCAGGACCGGACCCCACTGGGCCCCCCCCCACAGCCTCAGGCCCCGGCACCGCCTGCATCGGCGGTAGTTCCGCCACTGAGACATAATACTCTGACCAGTGAGAGGGTCCAAAACTGCAGCTCTTGTGGGATATTCCCGGTCTGCAGGGGTCAGGACCGACCAAAAGTGGTCCAAGAAAGGAGAACTGGCAACACGGTCATGGCTGGCCAAGGCTCATTGATATACAGGTGAAACTTGAATAATTAGAATATCGTGCAAAGTTCATTTATTTCACTAATGCAACTTAAAAAGTGAAACTAATATATGAGAGAGACTCATTACATGCAAAGCAAGATAATTCAAGCCGTGATTTGTCATAATTGTGATGATTATGGCTTACAGCTCATGAAAACCCCAAGAACCCCAAATCCACAACCTCAAAAAAGTAGATTATTACATGCAATCAATAAAACAAGGATTGTACATAGAACAATATCGGACCTCTGAAAAGTATAAGCATGCATATGTACTCAGTACTTGGTTTGGGCCCCTTTTGCAGCACTTACTGCAATTACTTTTGCACGATATTCTAATTATTCGAGTTTCACCTGTAAATGGGGAGTGAAGTCTGGCCTGTGTAGCCCGATCCAATGGAAGAGCTATTGGAGCTCAAATTGCTGAAAAGTTAATGTTGCTTCTGATAGAAAGATGTCTGAACTAGAGATGTAACATTTCCAGAAATTTTGAAGCCATGAGAAAAAAACCTTTTTGGAAACAAATTGAAAAAATAAATTCAGTGTGGAGTATTTTTACGAACTGAAGGTGATTTGCGGCATGCTGGGATGTGTTTTGCCATCTTTGTAGAATTTGGAAAAGGAGATTTCTTCTCACAATATTTGCACATTGCCGCTTTGCTCTCAGCAGACGTTGCACTGTGGAAATGTTTCCAAACTCTAGATGTTGGTCTCACTATTTTACTGAGAGGAGGAAAATAAAACAATGTACTGAGCAGATTCTAGGACAGTGGTGGCGAACCTTGGCGCTCCAGCTGTTTTGGAACTACAAGTCCCATGAGGCATTGCAAGGCTCTGACAGCCACATACATAACTCCCAGAGGCAGATGCATGTTGGGATTTGTAGTTTTGGCACAGCTGGAGTGCCAAGGTTCGCCACCACTGGTCTAGGAGGTAAACATGAGACTGTGATGGGGGAGAACATTATCAGGAATCATTTAAAGGTTATAAACAAATTTGTCAGACAAATGTTCCCTCTTACCTGAGAGGATAGAAACTATCATCTACTTTCATATCAACAATTACCCAACTGTAGGAAGTACAAGATAGACCCCACAAGCTAACCAAACTGGAGCCTTTCCTCTGCAGTGCCCCTAGTGGCAGAAATGCATATTTCTTTTTGAGTTTGAGAACTGCATGAAGTTTAGTGTTACCTGAATTGTATTCCAGGATTTGCTTGTCTTCAGCTGAGAGAATGTGCAATCATTTAGGACTTTACATAGTCTCAGAAATCTTTCATTAAGGTCTTCATGTTATATAGTTTGAATACCATGTCAAAGATCTATTATTTATCATTGTAAAGGAACATATTTCACACTCTTTTTTTATTTCAATTTTTCCAGAAAAAAAATAAAACGGCTTTGGAAAAAAAACTTTTTCCCCCCAATTTTTCTGTTGTTTTTTCCAGCCCTTCCCATCTCTAGTGTAGCTGCAGACCGGTCAGGGAGCCCATGCTGACTCCTGTTCACTGCCAAAGGCACCTACAATGGGCACGTGAACATCAGAACTGGACCACGGAGCAATGGAAGAAGGTGGCCTGCTCTGATGAATCATGATTTCTCTTACATCATGTGGATGGCTGGGTGCATGTG